TCAGCACAGATCATTAAAGTGATGGGATGAACTCCTTCAAGGATGTGAACCGGTGGTTATAGATCGGTGACACATTTTACACTGGTATCTGAAGAGCCTGAAGTACCGTCATCTTTTCCTACTTGCACGGAAACACAGGGTCATGAAGACCAGGTCAACAGAGTCACCGCGACTCGTTTTAATCAGAGCTGATAGATGTCCCGAGGCATGGACGTTTCTATTTCCTCCTTCATCTTCCAAGATAGGGCTAACTGTCAAACAGGTGCTAGCCTGGCTCTGTTCAGTGTTGTTTATAAAATAAAAGGGCGGTTGGACTCACACTGGCCAGGCACCAAGATCAGGGCTGGTTATCAATCTCTGATGTGGATATTTTAAAGAAAACAAGAAATTTTTAGTGCCCAGAAAAAGGTGTGTAAAAACAGACGACTGCAGATCTGAAAGGTTTTTCAAATGTCTTTTAAACAGTGTACTCAAACCAAACAGTTTGTGACAAAAAATCGCTATGCTAAGCTAGCTCCCAAGTCATGGTGTGAAGTTAGTGATTCCCTCAGGACCTGGGAAAAATGTTGGACTTGTAACTTCTGTGCCAACACCTAAATCTTTGTAAACAAATTTGACAAAGATTTAGGTGTTGGTCTTATTTCAACCAATCAGAGCTGAGCTTCGACAGAGATTAATACACTCTGCAGCTACGGAAATGTATTTCAATAAAGTTTCACCAGACTATGCGGGGCTAGCAATTGACTCGTAATGAAATTGTCAAATAGTGGATCATGTTTGAGCGTGCTTTAGAAGGTACATTTTAAATAAATCGGTATATATTAATTTTTTGTAATTGATTTTTGACATTCAAGAAGAAATGTAACTTTTCCTTACTGTCTTAGAGCAAACACCACTGTCTTTTGAGGTTGTTGTCTTCCTGCTAATTTCAGTCTAACACTTGTGGTAACAATTTTTTAAGATGCAAGCTATAAACCTGTCCATACGACAAAACACATTAGTGGAGAAAACGTACTGGAACAGTAGCACAATAAAAAGCTGTGTTGTCCTCCATTGTTCTGTATGACAGCATGTCTCCTGCAAACACGTCAACAAGGTCTCAGTGTTGTAGCCTGGAGTCGTAGCAAATAAAGTCTTACAGTCTCTCTCTCTCTCTCTCTCTCTCGCTCTATGAAAATACGCCGAGAGATGCCATTAAAAATAATGAGCGCTCCTTCACCTCCCTCTGCTTTGCAGCCAGTCAACAGATTCCTGCGCTGGGGCACAGAGAGCTGACTGTACCCGGTTCTCGGAGGCTGAACTTTCACACTGTGAGAAAAATTCCCAGATACAGTATGGAGTCCATTAATGGCTCACGCGCAGGCAGTTTAGCCAGTGTCATGCCTGAGCATGTAAAAACGTTGGGTTGTTCCATGGGTCAAAAATAGGGCAGGAAATTAGTTATGTTTTCCCACCGACTGGACATGGAGGCCGCAGCTTACAACCACTTTTTTATACTTTTAGCAGCCGGGTGTTTTATGTCTTTTTAATATGAGTTTTTTTTTTTTTTATGAAAATACTCTGAAGGGTACACAGTGGTACAGAGGTCCTTACAGCAAGAAGATCCCAGTGGTTGGTCAATGTCAATGGTTCGGTTCCCTCCCGTAGTCCAGAAACACATGGTCTCAGTATGGTAATTGGATCTGTGATGGACTGGAGAACCTGGAGGAACCTTTACCCAATAACTACTGTGATTATCTCCAGCCACCGTGACCCTGAGAATGACTTTTGTCTTTCTTCAATTCCTGCAAGTATATAAGTATTGTGTTCAACTAAACAGGCCCAGGTTTCACACTAGTAGCCTTCTATTTGCCTAAATTTCCCAAAGGAAACTCCCAAGGGATTCGTAAATTTCTATCGATTAACTGATCACTCTATTTATCTAGGTTGGAAAACACCAAGTTAGCGTATCATGGCGGAAAAAAAAACAAAAAGGTCATGTGGATTCAAGCTAACGCTTCGCTTTGCCAGGAAATAAACATATAAAGCTGTGGATATCTGTGTATTTTCTGTCTTGTCTGCCGGTGTTGCTGACGTTCTTCCTTCTTCTTCCACCATTGGCCTTCACATAAAGCGAACCACTTCCTGTGTGCGGCACTGAACTGTCACTGGGTGACATGAGATCTAAACACTGCCTAAATGTGCAACACAGAGAAAGTGTCGGTCGCAGCCGTCAGAACTAATCAGCGCTGTGTAAACAGATTTGACAGTGGTTTGAATGGAACTGGCGTGATTTAAAAGCAGTTCAGTGGAAAACATCTGCACCCTGCAGCTGGACCTTGTATGAATTTCCAGGGTACTTGTATGTATTAAGAGAAAAACGAAAAAGAAAAGTCATCAAAGCTGTTAAGGTATGACTCAGATTTTTTTTTTTTTTTTTACATTTCCTCATTCGTCTGTTTTTCTTTTGTGTCCAAAGTCCTGCAAATGGTTTTCAAAGTTGTACTTTTACGCTACTTTTTGTAGCACTGCTGTTTGAACCAGAAAATGCTGCACTTTAAGTAAGGTGTATCAAACCCATGGCCCGGGGCCCACTTCTGGCCCATGACTCCCCCAACATCTGGTCATGTCTGTGTTAACTTTTGTTATCTTAGCTAAATTTTAGCTATGTCTGGCTACGATCTGGCAAGATTTCTTTTTTGCTATCTTCTGGCTACTACATAACACTTATGTTACGTTTCTGGTGTAACGTTATCATTTCTAGCTAAATTTCATGTCAACTTTGTGCCTCACTTTTAAGAAGGTTGATCGAAATAATCATCTCCAGCGGCAACAGTCATCATTCACAGGCATAAAAATAAAATCAATAAAATGTTTTTGTCAGATTGTAAGAAGTTAAATTGACGACAGGCTACAACCCTCCACCCTTACTGTTTTCATTCATCTCGTCCAACTTTTTCACACACTTTCTTTTTGACTAATGGATCGAGTTGCTCTAGATCCGCCAGTCAATCTCATGACACACTGATTTGNNNNCCCCACCCCCACCCCCCGGCCCCCATCTCCACCCTCACTGCCTGTCAATACAGTAGCTGTGCTGCAGCGACCAGGTCAATGCATTTTCCACACACAGGCCTCTCCAATGTAGGCCACTGACACAGCAGCGGCCGTGGGCTGCTGCAGGAGCCTGTGGGTTTTTTTTTTGTTTGTTTTTTTTTTTTTTGTTAAATGACACTGTGGTTTACACGTGGCTCATGTGTCAAAGCATGTGTGTTCTCTTTCACATTGTTAGTCACAGTCACCGTGTGCAGCAGGAACAGAATCATCAGTGGAGGAACATGAATTACATACATGTGGGAAAACCATTTTGAAAAGGAAAAACGTTATGGGATCTGATTTTCACTTTTCCCTTCCGGCAGCTGCACCTTTGTCAGCTTTAGTAATCTGTGAAAGTCATGAGTGACACGTAGGTGTGACAGTTAAATAAATCATCGTCACAAATGACTGTAATGAATGTGAGCAGTTTCTAAAGGAACACTTGGAGACTAAACACAGGGGGGGGTTTTTATGCTATATATTCTATGGGTCGGGGTCGTTTTCTTTTGTGCCATCGGTCAAAATGATTGTTGACACTGTAACAACACACACACACACACACATACACTGTGGCAAGTTTCGAAGTTGCAGCAGTGTAGTTGACTTTCCAGGAAAGTTTTTTTTTGCTTTCTCTGTCGCAGACACAGACAAGAGGATAAACAAACACACACGTACGTGCGCGCACACACATGCCCACTCACACATGGACACAAACAAACTTGTGTTTTCAAAGAACAAACTCTGGACCAGCTGTCAATCAAGTGGTTTATTTGTGTTTATTTTCTGTCTTTCACTTTTCCACTATTGTTGAATTCCTTTACATTTCAGAAATGAACCAGAAATGCTGAACTTTGAGTGAGGTGTGTCAAACCAGTGGCCCAGGGCCCACTTCTGGTCCGTGACTCTCCCAAAGTCTGGTCATATGTGTTCATTTTTGTGTTATTTTAGCTACATTTAAGCTATGTCTGGCTACGAACTGGAGATATTTTTTTTTGCTAATTTGGCAATCTTTTGGCTACTACATAATACTTATGTAACGTTTGTGGTATAACATCATCATTTTTTACTTTATTTTCTCAATGTGTCTCTGCACTGATCTAATTAATCCAAAGTATATTTTCGTTCGGATTTTACTTCTGTGATTTTAAATGGGAGAATTGTGAGTGAAACTCCTGACGTCCGTCAAGACGTCCACAGACAGGGTACTGTGAAGGTATTTATAGCATGTAATGAGACTCTGGAGAGTTAAGGGTTATACACTTTAAACATACAGGCCTTTTTTTGTAATCTCACCCAGGGCAATATTGGGGACTCACTGAGCGCACGACAGCCAAGAACAAAAAACCAGTTTCACATTATCAGTCGAGATGGAGTTCAGCTCCCGAGGCAAGGAAGTGTTAAAATTTTAAATGATCCGCGCTCCATTTTTGGGTCGTTTAACCCAAATCTTTGAGAAAGAAAAAAAAAAAAAGTCATTACAGCTAATGGGTACTATGGCGGAGAGTGTAGCTCACAGGCAGGTACTATATCTATGGTGACAGACTGCAAGTCAAAACTCACCCTCAACAGTTAAACACATCTTTACAGTTACAGAATATAGTCCTTTTTGGGTTTTTTTTTTTACACCTGGTACAGTGTGGAATGTATGTCCGGAGGGAATGAACGTGCGCATATAAAATACAATTTATTGATCAGGACAGTTCTTTCAGGGTTGTTTTCTTAAATACCACTGTCAAAAAATGCTTAAATTACCATAAAAAGTTATGCTGGCACTTAAAAGCATTATTGCTCCAGGTTGTTTTATGGCTTTTTGGCAGGTGTCGTAAATGTCGTTGAGCCATTTTTACTATATCTTTGTCAACTTGTAGTCTAACTGGTCAAACTTTAAATGGAAATGAGTGGGTCGCATTTTTTAAAAAGTAGTGCATGTGTTTACGCCGCGGGTAGACAGAGAAAGTTATCCGTTGTCGCCATCTAGTGGCAGGAGTAGAAAAAAACGACATTCGTGAATGAAACTGTTTTTTTCCAGCTCCATTATATGTGTGTTTATTCATGGCACAAAACATATACTGGTTAAATGCTTCTACATTTAGATTCATACAGATCTGATGGTTTTCATCAGCTTCACAAAACTTGAATTTTTATATGTATCACATTTTTTTTACTGTTACAAAAAAAATTGTGACACAATAGAATGAGGTCGGGATATAAAAAAGCTGCCTTTTTTTTTCAAACATGAATACACAGAAACTAAATGTCGTAGCGGACCACTAGAGGTCACACTTCATGACCTCTCTGAGGCAGACAGTGGCGTAACAGGACGAGTCCAGGTCGAAGTTTAAGACGAGCGAATCCTGCGTCTTTTTTTCTTCTTCTCCCCCTTTGCTTGATGCTTCTTGAAGCTGATAGCTGAAGTTGTGTGGCATGGCCAGCAGGGGGCGGTAACAGCCGGGAATGTTCAGTTTGAGGCCGCTGACTCTGAAGCGACAGTCTCCCAGTCCGTCTCTGGACAGTCTTTCTTTGTACCAGGTTCCCATGGAGTTTTCTGGATACTTCACTGTGTTTCCAGGCATCGGCAGCTGAACCTGGAGAAATGAAACCACGTGATACAAGGCAGAGGGCTGGGCAAAAATTTTAGGCAGGCAAATACTATATTATTACCCAAACACTTTTTTTTTGCCTTTTTTTTCCTTTTTTTTTTTAGAAAAAAGGGTAGATAATCAGAGGCTCATTTTTTTATATCATTAAATATTTTTTAGCTAGACAGAAGCCAAGAATTGTCTGTAAATTATTAGTTGCTATTTGCATCAACCACTTACATGTTGAAGTTCAAAAACGCCCGTTTGTTCTTCATGGTCCGTCACCACATGAATCTGGAAAATAAATAAAGTAGATTTTACTGTGGTAAAATCCACTGGTTTATCAACTAGCTTAGCAACATACACCCATAATCCTTATGGAGGATCTGTAACATCTGCCGTCCTAGAGACTTATTTTGATAAAATGTCCTTATTTTATTCAAGAAATTCGAATCATAACCCTTATGGAGGATCTGTAACATCTGCCGTGTTACCTGAGCACAGCTCGTTTCTCCACTGTCGTCTGCCTGACTCTGTCCGTCGTGCGTCCACACCAGGTCTCCTTTCCTGACACTGTGGCCCAGAGTGGTTAGTCTGTGAGCCGCCGCCTCGTTCCACACCCTGAAACAAAATCTTAAAGTGAATTTTCACTTGGAGAAGGCAGATCCTGGATCATAATTCCTTGTGTTTTTCAGTCTGACCTGCTACAGTAAGCATGTAGGTAGAAGACCCTACTGCTGTGGGGTAAACTGAGCCAGGCCTGGGCACAACCGTCTGCACTGGTACCGTATCGGTTCATGGCTCGCAGCATCAGCCTCTCACGGACCTTTGATAGTGGCATCAAAGCCAAAGACTCTTTTGCGTTGTCTGATGCAGGAAAAAAAATCGCAACGTCCTAAACATTTGTTGTTTAACGTCTTCGAGAAAATTGGAGATAATAAAACAGAGTCTCACCCGTCTGGAGGAAGTGTCTCTTGGCCTGATTTGGAGGGTCATCATTTTCGTTTTCTGGAGTGAAGAAGAGGCGAACAGCACTGACCTGACACACAGAAACAGACACACACAACATAAAGGACCCAGGGTGTAGGATGTGGGCAGATGGACTCTGAATACCCACGATGAGAGCAGCAGAAACACAGTATTTGTCCACTTACCATGTCCTCCTTGAGTAAAGCCAGTCCCACGCGGTCTGACTGAACACTCTGTCCACTCCCAAACCTCTGTGGTCCATAGTAGTTGACAAAACCTCTGGCCTGTAACGAACAAAGTTAAAAGTGTCAGCTGTAGCGAATTTAATAGACTGAACATAATGAATATTATTAGCATATATATAATATAGTTTCAAATTTTTTTCTTCCAAAGGTTTTCCAATGATTGAAATTAATCACGATAAATCATTAATATAGTTAATCGTGATTAATCATGATTAATCGAGATATTTCGACAACACCTAAATATGACAACAACAAAAAAAATCTGTATCTTTATGGAACCATTAATGGAGTCATGTGTTTTCACATTTGTTTTTAGTTGTGATTAATCTAAATGATTATTAAAATTATTAAATGTCCAGAGAAATTAGCAAAAAAAAACATTAGTATCATAGCACAAGACACAAGACTACAGTCTGTTGTTACCAAGTTATGAACAAATCATGAAGCTAATAATGTTTTAATATCGATTGCTTTAAGGTCTGATTACCTTCACATTCCCCACTGCTTCCTTCACTAGTGCTGCCAGCCTCGTGTGTCTGTCGGCATTCGAACAGTGAGCACCACTGACCCCATGTGGTCTCAAGTCCCGCACCACCAGGTCAAAGTGGTTTCCCTGCAGTCGCCCGATCCTGAGAGGCTCGCTGACGGAGCGGACGTGAGACAGACGTAGACCTCTCTTTTCAAACTCTGCTTTCTTCTCCATCAGCCTTGAAACACAACAACAGAGGACAGATTTCAGGTGTCCATTAGGAGGTTTTTCAAAGTAATGTCACTGACTTCTTAAGAGTAAAATAAAAGAATCCCAACCTCAGAGCTGAGACCTTCTTGACCACCATGGACTGGTATGTGACGGCTCTTTTGTCCTTAATCCCAGCATAAGTGAAGTCTGACGGTAAGACTCCGAGAGCTGCTGCCATGTAGCTGATGGCCTCCAGAGTCTCCAGGTTCTCCTTACACAGAGTGAAAGCTGGACACAGCAGCCAAGAACCATACATGTCATATACCAGGGCTGTCAAACTCATTTTTACCAAGGGCCACATTAGCAGTACAGTTCCCTTTGAAGAGCTGGTAAATGGAAGACTGTATAGATCAGTGGTCCCCAACCCCCGGTGCACGGACAAGTACCAGTCCATAGGTCATTTGGTACTGGGCCGCAGTGGGACACAGTGGAAAAAAATATACTTAATTTTTACTAATTTACTTTATTCGGATTCTGTCATATCAAACAGAATAGAGTCTAAAAGATGTTTTATTTTGAAAATTGAATGATCCTTCAATGCTCAGCACCTTACTACTGGTCTGTAGTAATGGGTGGTCCTTGGATGACCAGTCCTTGGAACAAAAAAGGTTGGGGACCGCTGTTATAGATGTAACTACTCCATAACACACTAATACATGTTTCTGCAATTGATTATTATTTGATTGATTATAAAAACCTTTAATGACTCAGGTTAATAAACTGTTGCACGGCCTTTACTAAATGCTTTAAAGCTCCCGTGGGCCACATAACACGGCTTGGTGGGCCGCATTTGGCCCCCTACACAACACGGCTTGGTGTGCCACATTTGGCCCCCGGGCCTTCAGTTTGACATGTATGTCATATACCAACCAAGCTCCAACTCTTCAGTTTCCTGTGTTCCTACCCGTGTAAATTTCATCTTCGCTACGTTCATCTGCACTCCTCTTCTTCGGTCTTCCTCGGTCTCGCAGCCTCACCGTGATGGCCGTGCTCCCCTGATCGCTGAAGCTCTTCGTCTCCACCAGTTTCCCAAACTTCCGGCTCAGGAAGTGGTGAACTGCTGTCCTGTGCTCCTTGTTGTCGTCAGGTCCAAACGTATAGGACGAGCCCTGCACTTTGGCATCTATAAATCTGAAAAAGTCCTCAGCCTCGTCCTCCGTGACGAGCTGTGAAAGCTCCCTGTAGTCTGGATCCTCCCTCACTCTGATCTCGGGCTGAATGGTGACGGTCATGAGGAAGGGGAAACGGTGTCTGACGGCACGGTGGACGTTCGCTCTGAGTTGTTTGTCAGCAAAGAATCCCAGAGAGAACTCCTGCCTCGTTGGCCTCTCGTCTCGGAGAGTCAACACAAACTGCTCCAGCTCATTGCTGACAGATTGTCCTAAAATCATGCCCAAGTCCAAACTGTCTGGGGAAACATCGACTCCACAATCACCTGACACGTACATACAGTCTGTGACGGACAGATGATTTTTCTGCTTGTACTCATCCACAGGTTTGTGGGCTTTATTTCGAGAGGCACAACCAGGTTGATCTGCTCCTGCTGCTGCTCTGCCCTCTTTGTTTACCCACTGTCCATTAGTGTCTATCTCAGTCACCACAAAGTCTTTGACAAAATTTTTGATGCTCCCATGAAAACCTTCATGGCTGGAGATGAAGCAAGCAGGGATGCTGACACCATCGATCTCCTGCTTCATGGTCACGTTGTTGCAAATCTGCATCACCTTCACTTATAACTGGAAAAAAACAAAGAGATTTAATGTCGTGAATTCGTTATCAAACTGTGTGTCCTGGTAATTATGCATTAATTAACAGATTATAAACAGATTTCACCATGCTTTTCGACAAGACATTTCGAAACAAAATAACGCATTAATGCTGAGGTTTAAAGTTAACTAAATTATCTGTATTTCCGTAAGATCCAGTACGACTTGATTTGTTTTCGTGAATAGCTTTGTTTTGCACGCAAACGCATGTGACATTTTCCTTATTTTGCGCAACATTACAATTCTCGACTCCATTTAAACGAACAAAATAACAATGGTATAATCGTTAAGTTGAATAACTAAACAGGTCTGATACTGAGACAATCCAAACAGCCTCCAGCACCGGGCTGCAGCCTTAGTATGCAGAACAATGTACATACTTGCGCTACAATCACTACATCAATACATAAAGGTGTAAAAAGACACGTGGGAAGTAAATGCAGGACAATAGACACATATCAACACAAAGTAATATTAGACGTGTCATTAAAGGTGCTCCTAGTTGACGTAAACTCAATATTTACATCCCTAGATTCGCTGCTTTATTGCTGCACCAATGTGTCACTCTTATTTGTAATAGCCACATATTTTCTAAATATTTTTATGTCTCGACATTTGAGCGGGAGCTGCTGCAGGTTAAACAAAGAAAATAAAGCGTGTTAGCGCCTTTAAATGAGCAAACAACGAGCAAGCGTTCGTAGAGGCGTAATAAGTGCCTCAGTAAACTAACCTGCATGTGCTGTGTACACCAGAGGCTGTTGATGTAAACACAATCACGCCGGGACAGTCCGCTCTACTTCCGCAACACGTGACAGTCACGTGTCTTCCCTTAAAGGGACCAACAATATAAAGAAATATTCACGAATAATTACTGTTGGGCCAAATGCAGTGTTCATGCCGAAATAAACACATTTTAGTGTTTTTTCTTTTCTTTTTGGCTAAAACCTTTGGCTAATTTTAATTCATTGTTTTGGTATCTTCCTGTAAGATTTGTATTATTTTTACTTATGTCTTGCCCTCACTTAATTTACGTTATCTCTTGATACATTTGTTGTTATTTTGCTATTGGCTATTGATATAGTTTGTCGAATTTAGGCTATTCTTAGCGTGTTTTATACATACCATTTAAAGCGATACAAAAATACAAAATGTTACCCAGGATACATGAAAGATACAATATATTCTTATAGAGATGTAATTTGTGACACATTTATTTAGTCAGACCCTTCCATATCATATAACTAAATGAAATGCTTACACTGTGAGGACCTGTGTAATTTTGTAAAATATGATGTCATGTTTTTTGTCCTCTGCTGTTCAAAGGCAGAAGAAAATGATGTCACATTTCGATCCTCATTCCTGTTATTTGTGTCTACATTATGGATGCCAACTGTAGTTTAAAGCAAAGAGTGCTTATTAGAGTAAATAGGTTAATGTTAAAGACGGAGGACAAGAAGAAAACAGCGTGTGTAGGTTAAAGACAGAGGACAAGAAGAAAACAGCGTGTGTAGTGATGCAACACTATGGATGCCAACTGCTGTAAAAAACAAAATCCCCGAGAATATTTTTCATTACCAATTGGTGTTGTATTTATTTACAATAAAAGTATCAGTAGTATCCATACCATGAAATAACACAATGGTTACATGTAAACAGGAAATCCCACAGGATTGTGGAGACACTCACCTCCAGCATGTTGAAAGTGAGGGACAAAAGTGTGCAAATGTCTGTTCAGTGTGTGGTCAAACAGCAGCCACGAAACAACCCAGCGGCAGCTCCAGTGAGCAAATCCACGATGTCAGTTACCAGGAAATGCAACACTCCTATAAGGAGCTCGAAGCAACCAATAAAGATGTGAAAAATCTAAACAGGTACCTGGAAAAAGAAGTACAGAGGTGTCACACCAAACTCCACGCTTATATTGCTTTGGAGAAAAAAAAGAGGTTGGCTGAAGAGAAGCATCAACTTTTAATACAGCGTAACAGTTGTCTCCAACAGAAAATCATCGAAACTGTGAAGAAACTTTGTGATTACACAGCTTTGGAAGACGTTTACGAATCTGTTAAGACGGAAAACAAAACCCTGAGTCAGACTAAGTTCATACTGTACCAGCAGGTTCACGAAGTACATAAGACACTCTTCAAGCAAAATCACCTGGAAGAGAAAATTAAAAAAAGACAAGAGGAGAACGAAGCTCTCATTTTGGATAATATCAACCTCCAACGACAGGTTGAGGATTTGACGGAAAAACTAAGAGATACTAAAGGGATAGTGGGAAATTACGAGGCACTGGAATCCGCCATTAAGAACAAGACAGAGTTCAAATACAGCCTCCAGGGCCGACTTCAGGATCTGAACGAGCAGTATGAAAAAGTGAAACCTCAGGTAGAGAAATGTCATAAAATGAAAGCTAATATTGATGCTGTTCAGAAAGAGAATGAGATTCTCATAGAGGAAATCTGCGAACTGCAAGATAAGGTCACATTTGACAAGGCCCTAACGCGGTACTGTGATGGACTCCTTTTGGCCAAAGTGAACGTTAACAAGGAGAATCACGATCTCCAGTACAAAATTGGGAAGCTCCGCAAAGAGCTTCAGAATTTTGAAGGTGTGGAAGACAAATTCAAAGGCACATCAGAGAGAGATTTGATGTGTCGACGCAGGTCTGGACTCAAGAAAAGTTTAAGGACTGAGTTGCGTGCTCATAAACGAGCCAGCTCAGGTCATTGACAACAGCCGAGGGTGAGGGCGTGACCAGATGAGTTCAAATGCAGAGGTGGAGCAGGACCAAGATGAAATGTAACGGATTCTTACGTGGCTCAGATCAGGGCAAGCAAGCTAGACCAACTACTGATGAGAATTCCACCCAAAACTCGGAGACTTTTTCCCATGAACTTTCTGTAATCTGCCATGAACAGAACGTTGAGTGCAGTTTGGATTGGATTAGCACAGTTACAGGCAAGGGCAAGAGTAATGGAAGTTGTTTTTTTGTTTGTTTGTTTGTTTTAAAGAGAAAATAAATGCATGTGTTTTGCAAAGTCCTTTGTAGCCCTCAGTGCTCAGGTCTTAAAAGGACAAAATGTTCTTTATTTATCACAGTGCATTGCAGTTTAATTTTAATATTTATTTATAATCTATTTTGAATTTTACTATTTTGTGATTATTTTCAATTTCTAAGATGTCCAAATCACATTTTAAAGTTTTATGGGAAACATTGCTTCAGGCATCAGTGAATGTGCAGTAGTTGGAAACTGAGTGGCCCTGGCAGAATGCTTGTCCTTCTTTTTCTTTTTAGTCTGTTCTATTCCAGAATTTTTATAATAAACATTTAAAAATATCACCCTCGTTTCAGCTTATTTTGTTTAAGACACGGGGGTAAAGACGGTCCCACTGAAGTGTGAATGGCTTCAGAGTGCATGAAAGAAAGCTGAGTGACAAAAAGATCAAAGGCAAAATTGTAATACATTTTTGCATAAAATGTGGATAAAGTAATTGTCTAAAATGATCAGAAAAATCTGAACCTTAGTCTTTTAAAACCTGAATCCTGTGGGCAATTAGTCGCACAAGTTAAAAATGAGATGTGTAGTGTTGGTGTGTTGTTGTTGTCCTCTCTCTACAGCTGCACTGAATCCTGAGCTGACGAGCCTGAGTACTGGAGGGCGTGGCCTCCAATTGAGAAAGGCAGTATTTAAGCTCCAGCTCAACATGGATTCAGTGCCAGAGCATCTCACCCTGCTGTTTGGATAATGTGTTTGATCGTCTCGTGCTCCAAAGTAATTCCTGTTTTCTTTAATTGTGTTTGTGTGCAAAGAGAGAATTTTTTTTTTAATTATGTTTTTGCCTTTTTGTAGGAACATGTTTGGCACTTGGCCTTTTGTAGGTGTATTTTTTTTAAGAGTTTGGAAAATAAGGTGTCAAACACATACCTAATGGAGGACTTTCTACACTACACTACCGTGAGTTAAAAAAAAGGCTTAAAGCTGAGCTGTCAGCTACTGAATAGTCCAGTGTCACAACGCACCCCAAACAAAAAGTCACAAAAACTTCATGAGTGATTACTCAGTGTGAAACCTGGACCTGTTTAGTTGAACACAATAGTGATGTAATTGCAGGAATTGAAGAAAGCAGCCCAGTGATTGAGTCAGTGAATTACATGAGGAGTTTGTCTTTCCTTTACAAAATTGGGCCACAGTTGGCTCAATGGTAAACACTTGTGTTTATTTCTGCAACATTTGTCAAAATAACACATCAACAATACAAGAACTGCTGTTTATTCCCATTATGTACAAAAAATTACAATACTTCATTCTGTAAATTGTGGAAATAAAATACTATGTGTGTGATAAAAATAACAAAATCCATAACACTATAGAACATGTATATTAGGCATAAATGGTTAAAGTGCACAGGTAGACATTGGATAGCTGTTTGTAGAGAATTCATTGAACAATACTATCGTCAGGAAGACATTTCAACTGCAGGCAGCACATCCAGTGAGCAGTGTGGTGCAAAGGCTTCTTGCAGTCGTCGAGGGTAGTATCAGGTGGGGCAGTATACAGTACAGTCTCTGCAGTGTGCACACGTTTTGCCTTCACTCCTGAAGATTAGGTTTGAAATTTACTGCCAAGTCTACATGATGTGCATCCAAAAAACTAAACAAAATCATACTCTAACATCATTTATACATTAAACATGAGCCTTAATAAAAAACTAAATCTAAAAAATATAATAATTTAAGAAATATACAATCTGCATAACAAGGCATCAGTTCCACATATAACCTGATTATTTACCCAAATAAATGCTGTAACACACAATAATTCAATATTTTAACAATTTAATCAAAGCACCTTGTAAACACTGTTTCAGAAAGATGCTACATAGCAGGTACTATGAAAAGTGATGGAAAAATAATGGTTTTCCTGGTGCTGACAACTTAATGCGTTAGCAAACGGAAAAAAGTCTGTGAAGTTTCTTCAGTTGCCATGTTGAAATGTGATCCGTGCATGTCTTGAACGTGTACCGTTAAAGTCACTGGACTAATTATTGCCTTATGAAACACAGATGTAAAGGCAATTGAGATGGTAGAAGAAAACACCCTAAAATAACACAGTAATAAAACAGTGAAAAGTTTCTAAATATTTGGCTAGATATTGACGTTGGAACACAACCTCAAGCGAGATGCTAAAAGCATGTTCGAATATATCATATATGCATATAGATTGAGTTAAAAATTCAAATTTTATACTCTATACATGAAGGTTAACTTTGCAGCATTGGTAACGTGCATTAATACTTGGAAAAAATCATAGTTTGGCTATAGCATAAAATGTAGCCAGGGTGTCGTATACAGCATAATGTGTTTACATGTGCAAGTTTATAAGTTAATTTGAATATGTACTAAAAGGGACTAGGTTGCTAAAAGGCACCAGGAATATATCTGTTTGAATGGAGAAGAGCCATGAACTCCTGTGTTCTTTTGATCTGGCCCATTAGCTTGATGCTCATGACTAGTAAAACCATCTGGGGACAAGGGACGGAAAACCACAGATCAGATCAAGGCAGGTTCATCTTGTTGAGTTTGGATAATGTGATTGAGAAGATTACGTACCCAGAACACTCCACTTCCAAACTGTATAGCCATCGCCAGTGAAAATGCAAGCTTCAATTCTGAAACGTAAACAGGCAGACAGGGCTGTGCAGAAAGAAGAAATCAAACACAGGTTATTTCAATGGAACGAGAAAAAAGCCTAAAAGTATACACATGTTTTTTCACCTTTTGATAAACGTAATGGTTCTTAGGAGCCCCGAGTGTGGCGCTGCCTCGTAGTCGAATCTGTGAAAGATCACAAACCACTGACACTTGAAACGACCAAAACGACGATTGGCAACTCAAATGAGCAACTGTGCATATAAAGAAAAGTACTCACACATTTTCCTGGTTTCTGACAATTGCAAGATGTAGGAATGAACGGCCCCCAGTCTTTGTATCCCTCGATGAGACCGCAGCACTCAAACTTGAACACACAACCAGAGTAATTACAAATTCTCGGAATGTTCCAAACACAGCTTCAAATGTAGGATTGTAAAATCCAAATTTTAACTAATCGGGTAAGTTGGAAATCACATAGCGTACACAAGTACCTATGTAACTCACCTACGCTAATACGGTGGTAACATCAAAATCTGGGCCATAAAAAACCTCACATGAGTCTCGCTTATACCTGGGAGCCATAATGAAGGGTTCCCAAAAAAGCAACACAAACGAAAGAAAGCGAATGTAGCTCAATCTAATGTATAACATTCAAACAGCTGTTGGGAACAAAGCTAAGCATATAGGGGAGTACGATGATGCAGTTGTCCAATCAGCTCGCAAACTAGTTTCCGTCACAATGATGGAACAAGATTTACTTAATGAATTTATGGGAGGCGGCGACATAACCACGAAACACAGTAGGTCGAGGATGACGTAAACCGATGTCCGCCTTAGCAAACCTGATTACCAAAGTTGTCTCCACCAGCTATCTGAATTTGAATCAAATTTGTGAATCAAAGTAAAAAGTGAAATCTATAGGAGGTAGTAGCAGGTCTACACACAATACTGCCAATGTGATACAACTTCTAAAATTAAACGTGCAATGTAATACGGTGAGGAAACAGGAACAACCTCTGGAAGATAAATGTTTCGACCTGAGAGACACGACTGTAAAACATTGTGGAGAATGTGAATGATTTCACTGCACGTCCCTGTTAACGAAGGCGTTGTCAACTTTAGGATATGTTTTTTTTTCTTTCTTTTCTCAAGTGTTCATAGGTTTCCTCCCTTACTCACTGGCAAAATACCATATCTATCCTTTACCACCCTAACCTGCTGCAAGCTTATAAGTATAGATTTTGTTACTGCAGCATCGTTGCTTAACTAAATCATGTGCATCATGCCATTGTTGAGCTTTAGTGTTAACTACCGTATTTTTCACATAAAAATCTACACCATGCAGTATCTTTGAACAGCCGCACTCAGGTGTTTGCACTTTATTAAACCTCTATTAATTTTTTGCATTTTGCAGGTAACATGGTAGATTCTTACTTCTTCCTGAATACGATACAGCAGGGTCTTGTTAGCTTTGCTCATTCCACTGAGTGGCATCATCGAACGCAATTTTGCCTCTTCTCGTAGAACGCGTTTCTAAAAAAAAACAAAAACAAAAAAGAAACACAGCAAGAGAATAGTTTCTTTAGCTGTTGCAGTAGCTACACTGAAAACATATGACACATTACTGTAACCACGATTGAAAGGCATGCTACACACTTTACCTCGTACATATCTTGGTAGCTCAGTGACGTCCTGACGATAATTGTTTGACTGGCTACTGCCATCCCTGTCGCGTACTGCAAATACACAAAAGAACATGAGTGAAAGGCACAAAAACACAAGAGAGAAACACACACCGATTATTTTTTTTATTATTATTATTTTCTACCAGAATCAAACACCATCTTTTTCCTTTCCAGGCTCCAAACACCCCGAGCATCGACAGCAGCAGGCAGCTGATCACTATGACGTACATTAACACCACAGAAACATTGGAAACCAGCTGTGTAGGAAAAAAACACATCAGGGTTAGCAGAAACACATTTCCAGGAACAAATATTGTCTGTGTACGGCACCTGGAAAATATTCTTTAATACATATGTTTCAGGCAAAGATGTATTGCTGACACAGCACGGCTAACAAAGGGTTCAGAGGTCAGGGTCGGCTTTGGAGCGCTCCCCTCAGCACATGGAGATAACTCACTGTCCTGCCCAAGGACACTTAAACAGGCAGATGCTTGTTGACATCAGGGCTTGAACCCAGCTCCACCATAGTAATTACTGTGCAACAAAAAAATTGCTAAAGCATGATTCACGTCAGATTTGGAAAAAAAAAAAATCTATAAAAATTCTGCTGCTTCACTTTTAAATATACTGTAGTATTTAAAGCTACAGTGAATACATGATCAATTTTTGAGATATTTTTGATGCCATCAGGGATAGAAAATCAGAAAACAATCTTACTTTGCCAGTTTGGACCAGATCTCTATGCCACGCTACTGTCATGGTCAGAATGGAGAAACACAGTGCCTGTAAGAGTTACGAAGATAATGACGTAAGTCGTACAGCATTAACACACTTTGAAAGGTCATATTCAATTTTCTTTATCAATACTGATACACGTATCAAAAGTAGTTTTTCTAAGGGAATTACTATTTACACTTAAATTATCTACAAATATATTTTGTTTTTTACCAAATATATAAATATATTATCTATATGTAAATATAATTTAATAAATATATAATATTATAATGAATTTATATGAATATATATTTAATTATATATAATGGAATATATATGTATATAAAAATATATCATGCGTACTATTTAAAGCTAAACTGGACAGTATTTCTGTTAGCAGAATGGGTCTTAGTACTGTACACTCAAAGATTAAATTTACATCCAATAAGGGTCTTCTTTAAGGAGGCGGCCATGTTGGATGAGCACATATTGACATTAACACATACCAGACAGATTATGAAAAAAATACTAATAAAGTTGGTTAGTGAATTAGCACATTTGAGCAAATGACATGTAAATAAAACAAACATATATTTGACCATTTCTATAATGACAATATAAAGGAAGCAGAGCTCCCCCTGGGGGTTCTAACTGTCCACCGATGCTCGGACAAAAATGGTGAAGTAAGGAATATTGAACCACAACGTTTAACTACACCACTAGGTGTAGCTAAATACTAAAGGGTGTAACTTTAACTAAGGAGTCACTAAAGCAAATCAGTTTTGAAAATCTTTACAAAGCAGTCTCATTACAAACATCACAGGAGGCTGTAGTGCATGATGGGAAACTCACAAACACAGTACATCTTATTAGCATTACACTAATAATTATCTGCAACAGAGGAGCATTTTTCAACTTGTACTTGTGATTCTACGTCTGTACTTCCTTACTGTGGATTTCAGTCATTTCTCTGAGCTTTTCACATTTTCTTATTAAAAAAATATTGCAGACATTGCACCTCTCTCTGATGGAATGGAGTCGCTGCAGCATTATTGCAGACATTGCACCTCTGATGGAATGGAGTCGCTGCAGCATCCCTGTGAAACCTCATCTTTCTCTGGTTATTTATAGACTGAGTCAGGATGATTTAGGGTCAGGGTAAATAATTAACAGCAGTACTGCAATGCAAACATTTCACCAGAGAGGAAATTAAAAAAAAAAATCTTAAAAAAAATTAGCATCAATAATAAATCAATAGGCCTCGTGTTTCAGGGATGCATTTACAGGAGCAGTTTACATACCATATGTACAGTGTTTGCCATGATAAACGGCCGTTTCATGGTGGTTTTGTCCGCCACCACGATCACCGAGCTCTGCTGCATGATGGTGCTGCGGCCGCGTCTCTCTCCACCGTTAGTCTGAGTCTCCGGCACCACCTTTTTTCTCTCATAAACTAGGTATTTACTGCTGTTTGTGAAGGTTTGAACACAGAGGGCGTCTGTGGTCTGACCGCACACGACGTCATCAGGACGTAGGCACTGAATGAGGAGCAGGTGCTGCCTTCAGATGCGATCGGAGAAACGACGATTAACAGAAGAATCTGTTGGTTTCTATTTTAATCACAGAATATGCGATTTAGAAAGTATTATTATTATTATTATGTTGCTATTCTGGTTTCACCACTTCCGTAAAATAAAAAATACCATAAAATATTATATTTTAAAATATTATATAATGTGAATTATATAAGTTACCGTCAAAGACTGCCAAAAGTCATCTCGAAGTTTAAGTATTATGAAGCCAAATTATGGTTAAAACTATTTTTTAGATAGCAAATAGACCCAAAACTGTCAAAAATAGCTATATAAGACGCTAAAAAACGCTAAATGCTAATAGCTAAAACTAAAAAGAAGGCATCTTAGTGTAATCCCTGAAATATTAATTACCCAATAAGATAAAACATTGCCAGGAAATACCTTCTAATCTTCTTGAAAAATAGCCACACTATAGTTTAACCCGAAAAAAGAAATAAAGAAAGACAAAATAAGCAAGACGACTGAGAATTGCCCTAGAAATACAGTGGCTAAAACTGTAGTGACAAATTAGCTCATAAGAAAACACAATTATTGTTAATCATCATATAAAAAAAGATAGCTGTCAAAATTCAAAGCTGTCAGAAGATAATCTAAAATCTTTAAATGCAGTTAAATATATTTTGTTATTATTCCAAACTTTGTTAATATTTTAAATTCTGCTGTGATATTTGCTTATAACTAAAGATGAAGAAAAGGGCATGACTTTGGGGACTTCATGCAGCATTTTAACAGGAAGTCAGACAACAGTGTTGTCATCTTCACTTCACACAACATTTTTTTAAAAAAGCACAGAGGAAGTTATCCTTAAATGCTGCTCAGTGCTGTGTCGGTCTGGTTGTATATTATATCCCTGGTTAATAATTCACCCGCCAAGTTGTTTCAGTTTTGGTTGTCGACGCTTGAAATGACTTCATTACCCAGGATGCATCTGGCAACAAGGCAGGGCCTTTCACAGGACAGGTAGGGCGGGTTTCTACTGTTACCACAGGTGGTGTGGAAAGAAAGAAAGAAAGAAAGAGTCACCGGGGGTGTAAGTCAGTAACAGGAAAGACTGATGACAGGAGAACACAAAGACAGTGAACAGGAAAGAACCTGACACGTGTGAACGAGTGAGCAGCAGATGGACTAGACAGAGAACACAAAGAAGCTTCTTCAACTTTGACTGGATTTTTACTCTGTTTTAAATCATTTGTGTTTTGTACTGTTGGACTGGCAGCTAACTCCACCTGTGCAGGAGGACATGAAGGATGCCTTGTTTTGCTGTGGGTCAATAAGTGGGTCAACGACTGCGTGAAGGCTGAAAGGAGCAGCAGATGTGAAACTGGATGAATATAACCTTTCGAATATATTTATCACCAAACAGAACGCCATCATGTTTTGAAAACCTTTACCAGGAAATGCTGGAGAAATTGATTGTTTATGAGACACAGGCTAACTTGTGAATTGCACCACTTTTTTTTCCAAACTTTACTGCAAGGAGGAGAAGTGGAGTTGACACATTTCCTACACGGTACAGGAAGGCTGACTTCCTCTACTTCAACTCTTCAAAACCAACCACAATCATGCAGAACCTGGGAACTGAGCATGATGACTCCTTCGACTTCCTGTTCAAGATCATCCTGATAGGGGACTCTAATGTGGGGAAGACCTGCGTGGTACAGAATTTCAAATCAGGGATTTTCGCAGAGCGTCAGCAGAACACCATTGGTGTGGACTTCACTGTGCGCACAGTTGACATCGAGGGAAAGAAAGTAAAGGTAAGACACTGAGTGTGCCCTCAATGTATAAACCACGGACGTCAGAAGCACGCCTTATGTTGAACATCATTGGACGTATCTGTTAAAGCAGCTGTAAACACTTGAAACTGTTCAGAACTTTGGTCAATTATGCTCAATTTAATGGTTAATTACAATAACTAATCATCTGCCCTGACTAATTACTTTGGGTGGTTGGGAGGCAACCATATTTTTCAAAAGCTGCAAACAACAAACATGCACATTTTGTAGCACCAACTGTGACCACAGTGTGTCCCCCGTTGACCTGCCATCAGTGCGTTGTTGTGATGACCGTTGTTGAACAAGGGGTGAAAATATACTGTATCTGCTGGACTTGAACTCTGGAACTCTGCTACCGCTCAATGTACAAGACAAAAAATATATATGATGAAATAGTTTCACTTAATTTGATTAAATGAATTTGCACAAACAATTTTGCTATGCTCCATCAAGTGGTTCAAATCAGAGGCTGGGTTAAGGACAAATAAATGCAGTCTGAGAACTTTGTAGCTGTTTTTAATGGATTAAAAACATTTTTAAAAAAAGCCCAATGGCCATATTCAGCCCAAAGGCCATAGTTTGCCAAAAAAAGAAATAATTAAATTAAAGAGGCCATTTTAGCCATTAAATTAAACAAGGCTGACTCTCTGTAAAAACCTATCAAATTTTGAGAAAATGTGGTTGCTTTTTGACAAAATCAGTGAATTTCATAACATGACTCCACATCTCTTGGTTCTTTAAAAAATAAAAACAATAATCTAATGTTATACTGACTACAGCCTCACTAACTTCCCACAATGGGAAACAAACCTTTTATGGCTGACTATTAAAAGAATAAACAGAACATAATAAAACATCTCATTATGAGTGCTGTTCTTACTCGTTTCCTCAAAATGCTTGGAAAACCAGAGCAAAACTCTGGAAAAACCCCAAACCTGATTATAGTCACAGTAAATGTCACTGCCCTCATACAGAGTGTTGTGGAGTCAGCTGTTTGTGACAGTACAGCCTGAGGTTCATGCTGCAGGCCCTGCAGTCAAATATGAAGTTAGACTATGAGCAGAGAAAACAGGAAATGACAGTTTGTGGTGTAAGAGCAAACGTTCAGGTCCAGTTTTAGATAAGAACTTACGTGTGTGTCTGTGTGTGTATGTGCCTGTGTGTATGCAGGTACAGTTGTAAATAAAACTCAACTTGTCACTTTTGAGGCAGTCGGTTTATGTCCCAAACAAGTTTGACCAGGTGCTCGCGTGAAAAACCTGCCGTTCAAGCTTTTCTGCTCCAGCTTTTGTTGGAGGTAAAAAAAAAAACAAACAACCTCAGTCGTTAAAAATGGAAACTGTAGGGTATAAAAAGACTCAGCAGTTTATTTAATCTCAGGACTATTTCCTTTGTTACTATGACTCATATTTGCCAACTACAATAGAAAACAAGGTGATTAGCGATTAGCTATTCTGCCACCAACAGGTTCTGCGATGCGAAGACGTTCTTAAAATATATATTTTGAGTTAGTGGAAAAGAACATTTGCTCATATTACTAGTTTTTGCTCATTAATAAAGTGTATTTGTATGAATCTGTGTGTGACATGATGCTTTAAATGTATGTCCTTTAGTACTGTATAATGATATGATTAAAATGTTCCATTTATGCAGAACTTCTTTTAGGTTCCCTGTAACTTCACAGAGACACACCCACAGGAACACAAATATTCTGTGGATGAGTCAGTAATGTGACTGGTAACTAAGACTAAAGGGCTGATGGAAATAGTTAGGCTGCTAGAAGTTAAATGCTTCTGGTTAGATGCTAAATGAAACTGATTAGATGCTTAATCCTACCATTAGATGTCAAATGCTACTGGTATCAAAGTCAAAATCAAAGTCAACTTTACTGTCAAATGCTAAGATGCTAAATGCTTCTGGTTAGATGCTAAATCCTACTGTTAGATGCTAAATACAACTGGTTAGATGCTATATACAACTGGTTAGATGTTAAATGCTACTAGTTAGATGCTAAATGCTGCTGGTTAGATGTTAAATGCAATTGGGTAGTGCCTACATGCTAAATGCTAAAAACTGTTACTTTTAAGGATTGTTTTCCTTTCTTTTTTTTTTTTTTAAAGAATTTATAAGATAGAAAAACACCAAGGTTATTATTAGCCTCTGGGGTCTTATTAGTCAGGAGTGTAGCCTTTTTGCCAAGTAACAGATGCAGTCATTTAAGGGTAGTTTCCAGTAAATTCCAGATGAGTCTCCTGAGGTGTCCCAGTCCATACTTCTTTGGTGAATCTGTCAGAATTGGACAGAATAAAATTCTCTTTGCCATTTTATAAAAAAAAGACAATCTAATGAAATAAACTCTGTGCGTCCCTTTTTTCCACATTGCCCAAGCTCCAGATTAAACTGCAAACATCAGCTATGTTATACTTTAGGTATTATTTCTCTCATTTTTGTATTTATTAAATCTTTGAGGTACTTCATCAGGCTGTGTTTGAAACAAAATCACCAGCTGCAGTTTGTTCTTCTGAGATGCATTATGGGGAGTTTTTATTACCAAAATTGAAGGCCTAAGTACAGAGGATGTCAAACAGTAGTAAAGAAAATTGTGTTTATGTATTTCACTGTAAATTGTTTTGGGGTTTTTTTACTCACTGTCTACTGTCAAAGCAGAAAGGCAGGTGTCTCACAGTGGAATGAAAAACAAACTGCAGTCTGGTTTGGTTGCTATAACTGCTGTTACCATGCAAACATGATCTGTCAGACGCTTGGGGAGTTTGTGTGAATGTGTGTGCAGCCAAATTAATTGGTTTCACAAATTAAAGATTGATCGCCTCCTTGTGTTTGTGTATTTGTAACAGATCCAGGTTTGGGACACGGCAGGTCAGGAGAGGTTTCGTACCATCACTCAGAGCTACTATCGCAGTGCTCATGGTGCCATGATCGCTTATGACATCACACGTCGCTCCACCTTTGACTCTGTGATTCACTGGATCAAAGAGGTGGAGCTGTACGGGGCGGCTAATGTGGTGCTGGTGCTTATAGGTAAGTGTGTGTGTGTTTTTTCGAGGTGACCCTATTCAACATTGTAGAAAGACCTGAGCTGTAAGTGCTTCTTCTGTAGACTGTAATAATGAGGTCCTCAGGCAGTTTCTTAGGCTAGGTCAAACTAATAGTTAATGTTTGGCCCCAAATACTTAATTGTTAATTGAGAATTTAAGTATTTAACACAATATAACTTAGTTTATGCATTCATGCTAAAATTAGCAAAAACAAAACACTTCAGAAAAAAAATTGCTGGTCAGCCAGTGAGTCAACAGTGAGTACTAAGTCAACAGAAAAGTAATTAGCTAAATAATTTTGCTAAAAACTCCAGGAAAAAATAGCTAAAAAGGATAGCTAAAGCTAACAGAAAAAAAATTCATAGAAGTTTCTACAAAATCAAAAAACATCTTTGCCTAAATATTATTAGCTAACCAACAGTGTAGGAGAAAAAAAAAGAAGGAAGAAGGAATGAATTCATGGGCCACAGAAAACCTGTCTGAGTGCCACACTATGTCCCTGGGTCAGATTTTGGTCACACCTGCAATCACATGTTAACCAAACTATTGTTGTGAGAGGCTGCAGTGAATTTGATTACCACTAAAATTCTTAACCTGAATACTTGGAATGAAAGCACAATGTTCCCAACACCATTTTTTCTGCGTGAAAACGTAATTAGTCTGGAACACACAGCAATCAACTCACACTCAGGGTAATTAAAAGTCATACTTTAGACCATTCTTTGCCAAGGTGTGGCTTTAGAAATGTTTTTATTTGTACCGTTGACTGATTTTATACACATAAATTATTAATATATATATATATATTCAAATGTAGTGGCAAATACGTAGAAAATTGTCTAAAACTACCTACGAGTGTCAACATCATCTCTGTCTAGGGAACAAATGTGACCTGGAGAACGAGCGGCAGGTTCTCTTTGAAGACGCCTGCAATCTGGCAAAGGACAAAGGAATACTTGCTGCTCTAGAAACATCTGCCAAGGTAAAGAGAGTTCGCTGTACTGTAAAAACCACAGAGGAGCGATAGTTATACCTCATGTTCTCATCCAAATGTTGTCTCCAGGAGAGCCAGAATGTCGAAGAAGCCTTTATAATGATGGCCAGGGAGCTACTCTACCGCAATGGACTCAATGTCCAGCAGGGGGACCTACCTGGAGTGTCCCTGGCGACCAACTCTAGACCGATAAATGGTAGCATTGGAACCTACACGCCACCAGAGAAGAAGACATGTTGTTGATACCATCTTGACAACAGTAAGAAGAGAAGAAAATGAAGAAGAAAAACGCATGGGAAAGACCGCAAATGCATCAAATGCGTTGAAAATCCAGGAGGATTTGGGAATTTTCCAACCCATGCTGCAGAGTTAGCACTTTTGCTGTTGAGATAAAACTGCGGCAAAGGCAGCACTGCATACGTGTGATCAGTGTTGTGTCAAAGTAACAGGAAGTGACCATGTTTAATTTTCCTGTTTCTATCCTCTACGGACAGAGGTGTTACAATACCAGCGGTGGCGTTAATTCAAATCGTTAAGTCACATAATTACACATTATTATAACTTACACTTACACATGCTCATCTCAGCTAACAGTGGATATAAAAATACTCTTTTTAGTACTCTAAATATCAGATTTCCTTGTGCGAAAACCTGAAGCCAAATTTGTCAATTTTACAATTGTTTATATATTATTAACTCAAGTTCAGCTGTTGTCATACGATTTTTTTGTCACTGTTGAAGGTCAATGTCGATATTGTCTGGTGATTATGTATACACGTTATTCAGACTTATGTTTTTACTTAAAACATTAGTGTGAAATTTAAAATAAGGGAAGGTCGATTAAATTATACAAGGTTGATAAAGTTTAACTTCGGTTCCGTTAACTCTGCTGTCATTTTTTAAAATAAATTAAATTAAACATATATATTGTCCGGTATATAATAATAAACATTTAAAAACATTTTTCTATATAAAATTATTTCAATAAAATGAATGACCCCTTGCAGTATCATACGCCCCCTGGTGGATAAAAACAATATTGCTGGTCCAGGTTACTGGATATACCGTACATGTCATTATTTTTTTTTATATTAGTCTGGACCACAAATGTTAAAATATCCAATTAGTTCGTCTCTAAAAAAAAGTTTAAAAAATAACATCGTACCTCACCAAAGGAACACTACTGTATATCCACTGTAGAGCGTGGTGGTGGTAGCATTAGCATCATGCTGTGGTGCTTTTTATCTTTACCTGTTGCTGGGGTTTTTATTAGATTAAAGGAAATTACTAGCACCCTGCAGTGCTAGGTATTTATCGTACAAGGTTTACTATCGTAAAAATGTGGAAATGAAATGTGAATGAAAATACAGTGTTCCCTCTCTATATCACGGTTCTCCTTTTCCTCCCTCAGTACATCGCGGATCTTTTTGTTAATCCGATCTCGCGAAATATAGCAAAAAATAAACTTTTAAATGAAACTTTATAAAATAATTAAACATACAAAAGTTTTGGCTTTAAAATGTGGATTCTTGTTTCGAAATTGAGACTATCGCATTTGCAAACGATCGCTCGTAGCTTTGTTTACCGAGGCGAGATCGTACGCAGCATACTTGGCTAATTGAGTATCTTCTGTTCCTCACGCTGGTTGGCTTATGTATCTTAATGTCTCTCGTTCACTTCGCTCTGCGTCGCTATTTTATAACTCTACTGTGCACAATTGTATGGGGAAATAGTAATACAGTCTAGGGAGGGTTGATAACAGTGTAGGGGAGGTTCGTAAGGGGTAAATATATACGGAAATAATATGAAAGCCATCTTGAACCTACTTTTACAGGTGGGTCTTGGAACACAACTACCGCGATAGGAGAGGTATCACTGTAGGGGTTACAGTGATACCTGCGGCCAAAATCAACAAAAGTACCCTTTACTCGTCTATTTTCGGTGTGTTTTTTCTTATTTCCTTCATGCTATTTCTATTATTTTTCTGCCAAACTTCCTGTCATGCCCCACTGCCGCTACGTTGCCTTGAGCTGCGATCCTCTGCTGCTGCACTCTGGAGAACGACCGTTTGTAGAAACTCCCTCAAAGCAGGAAGCTGCAGGTTAGGGATTTTTGTTGCACTTTCTCCAGTGACAGATTTATGCCTCACATTTGTATACGGGGGGGCTGGTAAATGAGTTTGAACTGTGTTTCTGTTGTGTGTGTTTCAGTAAAATCGGGTTAAAGTTTGTTTGTTTTATTAAGTTCTGGGGCCACAAAAACAACCATTAGTGCGATTTTTGTACATGGGTCACTGTTGGCCTCCAGAATGTTGGCCAAGGATATCAAGAAAGGTTTTTATATGTTTCTAATTTCACGTGTTGATGACTGTGGTTGGAGTTTTCCCAGTGGGAAAAGTTACAGTCCATCCATTGTCTGGTGACTATGAGTACCACACCACACTATATGATTCACGACTACACAATTAAAACCGTTCAGTGACCTCCGGCCTTTGTGTCTACATCTGCATTTTTATTTATTTTACAGAAGTGAATTTTGAGGTTAATGGGTTCAATTCCTGTTAAATGCCGATGTGTCCCTGGGCATGGCATGTATAACACAAGACTCATTCAACAATCCAGTTATTGAGATATGTAGATGACAAACAGGCTAACTTCTTTTCTACCTATATGTCAGAGTTATACTCATTAAAACCACTAGATGGCACTGTGCTATTACATATAAATTGTCAAAGACAAGACAGTTTATTGTTGCAGACAACGATTTAATCCAAAACAGAGGACGCCACTGACATAAACTGAAAAGAAAAGAAAAAATCCAAAGTCATCTTTAGCAACTAATTCAAAATTAAAAAACAGCTGGGCTAAACTAGAATTTCTGGGCCACAGCAAAACTGTTAGAGGAATTGTGCCACAATTTACTTGTGGGCTTGAATGTATTACAGCACTAATTTGAACTGATGTCTGTGTGGTATCCATCCAAAACTAAAATCAGCACTTGGCAAATTATGAATCCTTCACTATAAAAACCATCCCATTCCACTTTAGTTAGTAAGTTCCTCTCAACTGTGATACGGTTCTTGTTTTTCTGTTTCCTCTCCTTCAGTAGTTTATGAGGTGTCACGTAATAAATCTCTAGCCCCAAAAATATGACTGCATTTCCTGAATATGGCGTCCAGTGAAAACAACATGAGATGTCACTGGCTGATTATTATTTCTGGTCTTAGGTTCATGTGATGTCTGAATACTTCTGAGATCAATGGGATGAGGCCAAGTGAAACTGAAGCTTGGCAGTGACAGGTCCAGGGTTTTCATTATTACTGGCCTCGGAGGTCTGATATCATACTGTTGAGAGTTTTATGTTTGTGTTGCACTAGAACGGTGGTTCCCAATTATT